AGCAGGATCATGCCTTCTTTGTCTGCAAGAGGCAGTAGAGGCAACAGTGTCTGGAGTTTGGTTATCATGAGGGTGTCAGAGGCCCTTGTTAAAGGGGTGGCAGGGCTGTAATGGGCAGCCAAGGAAGAGCTGGTGCCTCCTGTCTGGGATCTGTGGGGTCTGGGCTCTAGGTAGAAGGGCTGCTTTAAATGTGCCAGAGGCTTAGCCCTGGGGCCGTGCCTGCTTCTTTTGTAGCACAATGTGGCTGGGGGCTCAAAGGTGCTGGTCTGAAGGCCAGGATCCCCCATACCCTTGGCAGCACTGTCCTCCCCCACCTCCTGTCTGGCGTTTCCATGATAACAGGGTCCCAAATTCCCTGCCCCAAGCAAAGGAAGGCCCCAGTTTAGCTAGGAGCACAGGGGCTGCAAGCAGACCTCACCTGGGAGTCGAACTGTGGCTGTTTTTCTGTTGCCCTGGATGTCAGGCATCAGCCACTCCACACTCAGACCATCAGCCCCTGGGAGCTGGAGGAGCGGGATCAGGCTGCCCCCTGTGTAGTAGTTTTGCTTCCGTGTGGCATTCACTGTGGGGACCCAAATTGCCAAGATGAAGTAGCCGTCATTCACAGAGCACTTTCTGTGTGCCACGGCTCTGTATGCATTCTCTGTAAGGCTCGCAGCTACCAACCCATTTGATAGATTACAGGAAGTGATTTGCCCAAGATCCTATAGCCACCAAGCAGAGTTGCTGGGATTGGGACCTCCTCCTCTCCTACGTGGTTCCCAGGGGAAGAATGTTGAATCGAATGGGTCCCCTTTGAGATGACTTAACTGTAGGCTCTTCTAGGTTTGGAGTCAAGGGAATGAGGAGTTTGAACAAGGGAACAGGTAGCATGTGGATCACTGATTAACGGGTACCACAGAGGATCTGCTCTCTGAAGCGTTAAGAGTGACCCACAGAGGAACTATGCTGCAAGAGAAAGTACATAGGGTTTGGAATTTTCTGGGTTCCAATCTGAGCTGGGCCACATACAAGCTAAATGACTTTGTATAAATTTCTTAACAGTTCTGAACCTAAGTTTTCCTATCTAAAATGGAATCTCTGCTTCATAGATATGAAGCTTAGCATATACCAGGGTCTGGCACACAATAGGTGCTTAAAGTAATTCCTTCCCCCTAGTCCACACAGAGTTTTCCCCTTCCAACGCCCCACACCTCCAGCTGTGCCAGTCTCCACCGGGTGCTGTCCCGTGCAGCATCTAGCCCTATGGCCCTTTCCCCCCCACCCCAGACCACTCCCTACTGGCCAGCTGCTTGAACTGCGACAGAACGGGCTCAAAGAGGTCGTAGTAGATTTGGTGGGCTGCGCAGTTGTCCCGAAAGTAGAGGAGATCGTCCACTGACACGTTTTCTGAGATGCTCTGCCATAGTGTCAGGCTGTACCTGGAGTGTGGAGAGCAGCAGGCTCAGTGTCTGCCTGGGCCCTGCAAGGTCCTCAGGCCCACTCCTGTGCTCGGAACTGGACCCCAGCTGGGTAGGCTGAGCATCTGACTTCCCACCAGCCCCTTCTCCCTGAGCACTGCCTGCTTCGTGAGGGCAGAAGTAGCTGCAGGGGCTTTAGGAATGATGACTGAAAGCAGAAGCCAGGAAGGAGGGAGGGGATGGCCTGCTCTACCTCCTGTTTCTTATTTCCTGTTTTAAGAAAGGGACAAAGACAAAGAGGATGGGCACAGGGGATGCGGGGAGAGGTCGGTGTAGAGGAAAGGGGGCAGCCTCAAGACTCCCGTGGGGAGTGGCTGAGGGAGGTGGGGCTGGGCAGCTGGGAGCAGACTGCAAGAGTAGGGCTGGGTGGGGGTTCCTCAGTCCCTACAGGATTATTCTGGGGCAGAAGTTGGAAGTGCAATCTGTGTAGCCCACAGATGGCTCCAATGGGAGGAAGCTGTAGGGAGGCAAACTGTGTCTCAGTATAAACTCTTTCCAGCGGGCAGAGTTGTCCTATAATGGACAGGTGGTAGTGAACAACCCATCACCAGAAGTATAACAAGCAGAAGGCAAGAATGTTGAAGATGATGTGAGCACTAGTGAGGGTTATACCAGAATCTTTAAGACCCTTTCGGCATGAGCATCTGGGATCTTCTTAGAGGCACCAGTGTCTAGGGCTGGGTTTGGTGGGAGCAGAGTCTGTGGCAGGGGCTGAGAGTTTACCTGTCAGATTGGCCCAGTAGCCAGCTGAAGTAGGGCCAGGCAGCCCGTGCCATGACAGCCCGCACCGGGAAGGTGACCCTCTGTGGCAGCGCTCCTACCAGCCCCTGCATCTCCTCCACCATGGCTCGGGTGTACGTACTGTTCGGGAACATGGGCAAGTAGAGGGTGGTCCAGCCTGGAGATAGGGTGGCCTCAGGATATTTCTCCTGGACCAAGGCCAGGAATCTGCAGAGAATCAGAAATGCTGGTCTTGTAGAGCCTCGCTAGCCCCTGGGTTCCCATCACTGAGTTCCCATCACTGTACTAGAAAGTGGCAGGGCCTATCGAGTCTATGATATAAGGGCAGAAGCAGAGTCCTAAAGAGCAGAAGTAACTCCTTTGGAGTCCGGGGGTCTGGGTTCAGGTCCTGATTGTGACCTCGGGCAATTCATTCAACCTCTTTGATTCTCAAAGAGGGTGTCCCTCCAGGCTGGGCGGGGCCGCTTACACATCCCCATGTAAACAGAAGTCTTGGAATCCAGAGCCACAGTGGTGGAGATTTGGGCTCTGCCTGCTGTGACAGCCTCTGAAGCTTCGGATTTTAAAATTTCGTTCAGATTTTTGCCCTGCTGCTTTCCAAATGCACCTCAGTATGAGAATCACCAATGTTGGATGGATTGTCTGCTGGTTGGATGGACAGTTGGATGGAGATGGACAGTAAAGGGTGTGGGGCTTAGAATCAGAAGAAGGGCCTGGCTTTGAATCTTTGCTCCGCCGATTACTAGACTTAGGCAGGTCATTTAACTTCGATGAGATAGTTCCTATAATAATAGCAGCTACCTCATTCTCATTGTAAGAGTTAAATGGTATTTTACAACTAAAGTACTTAAAATAAACATTCAAAAATTAAGCTTCAATTGTTGTCAGCTTTCTCATCTGTAAAATGGGGTTGGGGAGGCGGGTAGGTAAATACTCCTGACCTGGTGCTGTTATTTAAGAATCAAATTAGATACATTCTCTTTTTAAGTACCCCATCTTTGTAAACTGAAGGGCACCGTTGAGCTGGTGTATGTGAGGGCTGTTGGTGGCAGTTCTGGGATTTCATGGGGGCTGGGCAAGGAGTTACATTTTAGATACAACATGTTCAAAGCTGAGCTCTGCCCTGGTCACTGGGGATAGAGTATCCCCAATGAAATAAGGCCTGTGTTAGGAAATGTGAGTGTCAGCTTGGGATGTTGGGGCAGTTTTTGGAGGAGGTAATGACTGGGCAAAGGTTCATCAGGAAATGGGAGAAAGGCATTCAAGGCAAAAGGAACAGTATGTGCGAAGGCTCAGGGGTTAGAGTATGTGGTGTGGCTGGAGGCAAATTCAGAAAAGGTCCCCTGAGCACTTCCTGTACCAAATGTTGAAGGGAAGAGGGCTGGACACAGTTGGGCAGAGAGGGGAACACTTACTGTGTGGCATTGAGCTCGATGGAGTTGAGAATGTTGGGGCCCCTCACGATGTCAGCGTTGATCCACACAGGCCTCTGGACTTTCCCTTCATTTGTCAGCCTCCGCAGGAGGTCTAGGGAGGGCCCCACAGCCTTGAGACTCTTGAAGTCCAGCTTGATACCTGTGGAGAGGAGGCCCAGGGCTTGGGAACTGGCTCCTCATGCTCAGAAGAAGAAACTAGAAGACATGACTTAGTGGGGCAGAGAGAACAGTTATGGTGTTTGTGGTGGGGCAAGGAGAAGAGGTGGGAAGACAGGGACCAGATTCCAGCTGAGTGTGAAGAAAGGCTTTCAAACAGGCAGAACTAACCCAGAGAAGAAGGAACACTGCGAGAGTCAGCTCCCCTTCCTTGAGGGGAGGTAGTAGAAACTAGCTAAGGGCTTGGGACTTGAGCTTGGTGCAGGAGTTGTCAAGCATCTGATGAAAAGGGACTGTGATGCTTGGACAGAGCAGGCTCAGAGGACCTTAAACCACCCACGCCTGTGAGGAGGTCATTCGGTCTTCGGGAAAGGGCATCTGAGTAGTGGAGGGCAATCTAGGTAGAGGAAGGATCGAGCATGAACAAAAGCCTATTCTATCAGGGTGGCGAGGGCCTGGGAATGGCAGGTGAGGCTGGGGATGGTGAAAGCCAGACTAAGAAGATCACTCTATCCTGAGGACAATGGGGAGCCATGGAGGTTTAAATCAGGATAGTGACATGAAAATTGGCATTTTTGGAAAGCTCACTCACGTGCGTGTGGTAGTGGGGGTGGTCAAGGAGAGATGGCAGGGACTGAACTTGGAGGCAGAAAATCAGTGAGAAACAAGGTCCAGGAGAGAGATGGTATGGCTGGGACCGGAGCAGGAAAGTTAGGTTAGAGGTTAGGACTGGCAGAAGTGAGTGGATGTGGGGGATGAGGGAGATTTTAGGGTGATGCTTAGATTGACAAATTGGCAAAGGGACATAAAAGAGGGGGCACGGAGCTTGGCTTTGAACACGTTATATCCAGTCGTGTGGAGCCAGGAGGGAATACCCTGCACGTGTTTGGCACTTTGCAGCTTACATTCCCCATCTCACCTGTGCGTCCAGGAGAGAACATCCTGGACTTGCCCTTTCACATCCCCCATCTCACCTGGAATTTCCTGAGCCTGGGCCTCTGGAACTTTGGGCTGGTGATGAGCAACTCATGATGGGAACGGGACTCGCTTCCCAGTGGAGCGATCCCTGAACATGGTCACTGAGAACCAGAGGACTGGGGAGCTGGGGACAGGCCCGAGAGAGGTGCTTACCCTTCTGGGAAGAGGCCAACACGGTCTCCAACCACTGCTGCAGGGTGTTGTCACTGTAGATGGCAGGGGGGTGTGCCATGATGGGGACCCCTGTCTCATTGGCTGTGTCGAGCCCTTCTACATTGACGTCTGCCTCTAGGACCATGATGTCGCCTGTGCAAGAGACAGAACTCAGTCAGTTCCTGATTTTTTAAAAAACAATTGTTCTCATAAAAATTATTGCATGTTTATCACAGAACACTTAGAAAATACAGAAAAACAGGGAAATATTTCAGTCTGTTGAAATTTTGCTTCCAGACATATCCTCTGTTTGGCTCAGATAAACTCTTTAACTCAGAGATTTTCCACACACACAGTAAAGAAAATACAAAAAAACAGGAAGGGAAATATTCATCCACATTTCCATCATAGTTCACATTTTGATGTATTTCCCTCCATTTTTGTCAGTGTATAGTTTTTACACAGACCACACTGCATTTATAATTTTTAATCATTTTCTTTCAACGTTATGACACATTCACAATCTTTTGTCTCATTTAAAAAGATGCTATAAAAATTTTTTTATAAGTGCTATGAAAGCCTGGTTGAGGGGGCATACTGCAATTTAGTTACCCACCTCCTATTCCTGAGACATTCCCGTAGTTTCTAATTTATTTTAGCCTGACTTTCTGATTACTTCTAATCTCTATTTGTGGACTTTGAGTCAGGGTAATGCAGGGTAATTTTCAGCCCATATTATCAAATTACTTTCCAGAAAAATTGTTGTGGTTCATGTTCCCGCCTTAAATGCTTAAGCTTGCCCATTTCCCTGCACTTTGACGGCAATAACAAGCATTGTTTTTGCCTTTTAAACTCATGCAGTTAACCCAGTCAGGGAAATGTCATCTGATAAAAGGCCTTTCCAATGAGAAGCAGATGCTGGGAGACCCTGCCAGCGTCACTCTGCAATTGGGAAGTGAGCGTTGTGGAGGGCAGGAGGGAGGGGTCGCTTCCAGCTGCTGCCACATCACAGACAGTTGGCATCAGGAGCCTTTTCTCCTGGTTTACGCTCACAGCCTCCTGACCGTTCCTCTCACCTCTGGCCTTGCTCCCTTCCAAGTCCATTCTCTCCGCTAGAGTGAGTATTCTAAACATGTACCTGACCATGCTGCTTACATTAACAAAAAATGGCCCCACCCATGGCCTGGAGAATCAAATCCAAATTCCTTCTGTAGTCTTTGTGGTCCTGCATGACCAGGGTCCGGCAAACTTTCCAGTCTTGCCTTGAGTCCCTCTCTCCCTCATTCTCTAGGTTCTGGCCACTCCAGCTTCTCTAATATCAGTTAATGTGCACACAGATCACCCAGGAACTATTAAAATTCAAGTTCTGATACAGTAGGTTTGGGCCTGGACTCAAGATTCTGCACATCTGATCAGCTCCCTGGTGATGCCCATGCTTTAAGTAGCAAGGCTCGAATTTGTCTTGTCCTCTCCATCTCTGGGCTCTGACACGCAGTTGTTGCTTGGTATCACTCTTCCCTCTGCAGCTTTATTAGGCCATGTCACGTTCATCTGTCAGTGTTGGCTTAAAATATTACTTCCTCAAGAAGGCTGTTCCTGAACCCCACACCCAGCCTAAGTTGGGTGGCCTGCTTCTGGATTTCTCCTCTGAGCACTTGGCCCCCATGTAAATTGCTTGCTTAGCACTAGCCTGAGTGTAAGTGCCAGGGAGCAGGGCCTGATCTGAATTGACCACTTGGATTTCTGGTCCCTAGATGGTGCCAGGACTAAATGAGGAGCTTCGAAAATGGTTGTTGAACAATAAAGGCTATATTACAAACCTTTATCTCATACTCGATAGTGAAAAACTGAAAGCTTTCCTCTAAGATCAGGAACAAGATAAGGATGCCCACTCTCACTGTTATTCAACATAGTACTGAAAATCCTAATCAATCAGAGCAATCAAGCAAGAAAATCCTAATCAATCAGAGCAATCAGGCAAGAAAATAAAAGGCATCCAAATTGGGAATGAAGTAAACTGTCACTATTCACAGATGACATGATTCTATAAATAGAAAACTCAAAACTCCAGAAAGATTAGAAACAATAAATACAGTAAAATTACAGGATACAAAATCAACGTACAAAAATCCATTGGGTCCCTGTATACTAACAATGAAGTGTCAAAGAGAAAACAATTCTATTTATAATAACAAAAATAAAATACCTAGGAATAAAAACAAAGAACGTGAAAGACCTACACCCTGAAAACTACAAGACATTGTTGAAAAGAAATTGAAGACACGAAGAAATGGAAAGACATTCCATGTTCATGGAGTGGAAGAATTAACAGGTAAAATAGCTATATTACCTAAAGCAATATATAGATTTAATGCAATCTCCATCAAAATCCCAATGGCCTTTTCCACAGAAATAGAACAAAAAATCCTCAAATTTGTCTGGAATCACAAATAGCCAAAGAGATCCTGAGGAAAAAAGAAACTGAAAGTATCATACTCCAACTTAATTATGCTAGAAAGATACAACAGTCAAAAAAACAGTATGGTACTGGCAAAACAAACACACAAACCAATGGAACAGAGCCCAGAAATAAACTCACACATATATGGGTAACTAATGTTCAATAAAGGAGCCAAGAATATACACTAGAGAAAGGAAAATCTCTTCAATAAATGGTGCTGGGAAAACTGGACAACCACATGCAAAAGAATGAAACTAGGTGGCTACCTGACGCCACACAAGAAATTAACTTAAAATGGATTAAAGATGTGAATATAAGAACTGAAACAATAAGATACATAGAAGAAAACAGGCAGTTATCGAGCTTGCTCTCAGGAGTTTTTGTGAACTTGTCAAAGGCAAGGGAAATAAAAGCAAAAATAAATGAATGGGACTACATCAAACTAAAAAGCTTCTGCACAGTAAAAGAAACCATCAACAAGATGAAAAGGCAGCCAACTGAATGGAAAAAAGTATTTGCAAACAGTATCTTTAATAAAGGCTAATATCTAAAATATATAAAAAACTCATACAACTCAACAAAACAACAATCCCATTAAAAAAATGGTTAGAAGACCTGAATAGATGCTGGAAAGACATACAGATGGCCAACAGCTGCAGGGTCGGGCCTGGTTAGTACTTGGAGGGGAGACCACCTAGCAATACCAGGTGCTGTAGGTGTAAAAAAAATAAAAAAATAAAAAAATAACAAGTGTTGGAGAGAATGTAGAGATAAGGGAACCTTAATACACTGCTAGTGAGGATGTAAATTGGTGCATCTGCTATGGAAAACAATATAAAGTTTCCTTAAGAAATTAATAGAACTACCATATAACCCAGCAATCCCTTCTGTGTATCTACCTGAAATACTTGAAAACAACTTATTCGTAAAGATATTTGTAACCTTATGTTCATTGCAGCATTATTCTCAATAGCCAAGACATGGGAACATCCTAAGTGTACTTAGGTTGAATTGTCCTTATAATTGAATAAAGATGCAATACATATATATATACAATAGAATAAAACTCGGCAATAAAAAATGATGAAATATTGCCATTTGCAACAACATGGATGGATCTTGAGAGTATTATACTAAGTGAAGTGAGTCAGACTGAAAAGACAAGAACTATATTTCACTCACATGTGGGATGTTAAAAAAAGCAACAAATGATCAAAACAAAACAAAATAAACTTATATAGACAACAGTGTGGTGGTTTTCAGAGGGGAAGGAAGGTGGGGGAAGAACAAAGAGGGTAAAGGGGTCAAACACATGGCCAGGGAAGAAGACTAGACTTCGAGTGGTAAGCACACAACAGAGTATACACATGTTATAAAATTGTACACCTGCAATTTATATGTCATTAACCAGTGTTTCCCCAATCAATTTAATAAACAAACCAAAAAAAAGGTTGAATGAATAAATGATGGAAAAGTCAGGATCAACAAGCTCAGATCTAGGTAGGTGAAAAGAACTTGCTCCATAGATGCAGAATTTTCAGATTTCTCTAAATTCTCGGTGTCTGGATTTCCAGGAGGGGAAGGAAGCTCAGTGCAGGCAGTCCCCAGCCCTGAGCCCAGTACTTTGCATAGTCCTGTTTCATCCTCATGTTATACATCCTGCCCAGTGCTTGAGTCTCTCCGGTTTCCTCATTGGCACAATGGGGACGAGCCTCCCCAGGCCACGAACACAGGATGTGGACATAAAAACACAGCACATAAAAGCCCGTTGTAAACCTCGAAGGTCTTTATAAGGGTAGTCTTTATTTGTATGGCTTGAATACAAAGTCCTTTCTTATCTTAACTTTTGGTTACCTGGGAATGCAGAGTGGGGTCCCAAGAGTTTGGCCTCCTGTGAGGCCCAGAGAAGCCAGACCACAGGCGGCAGCTGGGCAGATACAGTGTAACTCAAGAAAAGGGATGCTAAGGGGTCTCCTTCCCACCTAATGGGGACTAGTTACAGTCTGGGGGAGGTAGGGGTAATTGGGAGGGAGTAGGACTGGACCCAGGTCTGATTCCTGGCATAATCTGATGCAACTGCCTCCTTGATTTGTACTAGCTTCCGCCCTTGAGACACCAGGAGGCCCTTAAAGACAGGGTCATCTGTTACTTCTAAACCTTCTCCTTGAGATTGGCCCAGAACAGAGGCCCAGCAAATGCATAGCAAATTGGACTAAAGACAGATAGAGAATGCATTCTGGACCTAAACTGCCTCCTTGCAGTTGCTACCTGGGTCCAGCTTCTTCCTGAAAAAAATTTTCTCCCTTGCCCTTGTCATTAAGAGCTGTTACTTGCCTTCCAGATGCTGAATCTGGGGACCCAACTTGCTTGGGTGGGGTAAGAAGGACAGGACATGAGGGAAAGATCAGTTTCCTGCAGCCACAGCAGGAGCTTTGGTCCTCAGGGGGTGCAGTCAGGAAAGGAGCACTGCTCTCCAGAGGGGACAGACGGGAAGCTACTGCCTCCACTCTGTGCTCCGCCACCCAACACCAGGAGCTCTACACATCCCATCCAGGCAGGAGAGCATTGTGGTTCAGTGTGCAGAGCCTGAACCCATTCTGCTAGCTTCCAGTTTCATATTAACACTTGCAAAGCTGTGTGACCTCGGGCAGACTGAACCTAGTTCTGTCTGCCTCCCAGGACTTTGCTCTGGCCCCTCCTCTCTACATGGATGTCCAGTCACATTCAAGGTGACTTCACCAGTTTAACCCTACCACTGGCTGCTATCAGGATCCCCACCCCTGTGGTACCACCTTCTTCGCAGGGGCCTACCCAGGTGACCTGGCAAGACTGTCAGGAAGAAAATCAGGACTGGGGTCCTCTTTGGACCCCTGCAGCTATGCTAAGGGTGCCTCTCCACAATTCCACACTATTGTTGCTGCCTGGATCTGTCTGCTGCCTCAGGATTGACATGGAATGAGCCTGGAGGTGGCGGATCCTCCCTTGCTGGCCTGGTTCCAACAGAGGGAGGGGTCTCTGTCTTCCTCATCACTAAGTTCTGGTCATTATCCTCCCAACCAGAGATTTCCTGCTCAGTCTGTGGTGGCCTCTCCTCTATTGACCACCAAGCCTGCCTTCTCTGAGAAGTCCTCCCTAACCATTCATTCATTCATTCATTCATTCAGCAAACCTTTCCCAGGCACTTACTCCCTGGCCCTCTGGTGTGGTGACCCTGTAGGAAAAAGAGCCAGAAAGAAGCCTAGTGCCTAGGCCTTGCCCTGCTTCAGACCTATTGTGTGACCTTGGACAGGACCCTTTCCTACTCTGGACCCGTTTCCTCATCTGAAATTGAGGGCTTTTGGTTAAGCACTGGTTCTGAACGTGTAGTTCTGGGACCAGCAGCATCGGTATTACCTGGGAACTTACCAGAAATGCAAATTCTTAGGCCCCACCCCAGAACCAATGAATCAGAAACTCTGGGGGGAGGGACCAGCAATCCGTCTTCTGAAGCAAAAAAATTTTGAGGACTAGGCCCTTCATTTGGCTAGTTACTGCTTTAGAGTGTACTAGCATGTTCATGAACAGTCTCTAATGAGCTGCTTACCAGTTCTGAAGAAGAGGCTGTCTTTCCTGTTGGACTGGGTCAGTCATAATGCATTGAGTGGTCCAGACTTCGGAGTTCCTATGTTGGCTTAGCCACTTTCAGTCACCCAGCTTTTCTGAGCTCCCTCTTTACTTCTGTCACATGATGCCCATGAAGCTGTTTGCTCGCAGACCCAGGAAAATCCATGTAGAATGTGTGCATGTCTCTATATTGAGCAATCGCTGACTGGTTGTCATAATTCGAATTGGAGACTCAGAGAGGAGTTACACAGTTCACTAGGTTTTTACAGATCGTGTTTGGTAGCGCTGGGCCTCACACATTTTCTGGCTTCCTTAGGCTTTAAGGACAAAGGGCTCCTTATCAGGGACCATTGTCACCTGGTAGGTCATGGGAGGGGTAGCTGGGAGGAAGGGCAGGACATGATAACTTTGGAATTAGATACCTGGTTCAAGTCCTAGGCTCAGAGCTTATCAGCTGCACAGCCAGAGATAGTCATCTAAGTTCTCTGAACCCCGACTCAACGTGGAGTGTGACAAGAACATGTGGATACCCATCACAGTGCTACTTTACAGGTAGTGTCGTCTTATCCTCACTTCTGTTCTCCTTGCATTGCCTCCACTCCTTCCTGGGCCTGTCCCAGTCCTCACAGCTAAACTTACTATTCAGGGCAGCATTCATCTCCTTTTGGCTGTTGGCAGCATGGTACCAGGTGACCAGCAGGCCATCCCGTTGGTTGATCTGGCCCAGGCTCAGCAAGTAATCCAGCATGTCTGCATCTGGGCGGCAAACTGCATCTTGCTTGCAGTCTAGAAGGAAGGCCAAGGGAGTGGGGTTAGCATCAGTTCTCATCCCAGCCTAAGACTCCTGTCCATTCACTCACTCTCCCTCTCTGGGCTCCTAGGGTGTGTCCAGCGTGCCCTCTAGCAGAGGCAGTGGGACCCCAGAGTCAATACTGCAAGAGAGGGAAATATGTGGGCTCCTGGGCACAAGGAGGCTCCAAATCAGCCTGGGGCAGTCAACTTTAGAGAGAAGGGAATATTTAAGGCGGCCTTGAAAGATGGGTGTAAATTTGACAGAAAAGGGGGATAGGTTATTACGAAAGACCTTATAAGCAAAGGCTTGGCTCTAGGAAAG